GAGTTTTAAGTTTGATATCTTAAACTATTAGGTGAGATCCCATGAGAGTTAAAATGTCCTTAATTAGTTTACTTAAAGATATATAATGATATTTACGTTAAATGACTAAGTTAGATCTCGTAAATGTTTGGAAACAATTTGGGTTCAAAATATTAGAAAACAATATTTTACGGTATTTCAAGGGTGTGAATATGATCTCTGAACACTACTATAAATGTCCTTTGAGACAGATAGTAATATTTTCAATAAATATAAAAAAAGAAAAAAATGGTATTTTAAGTATTCTACAAATTTGTATTGGTTTTATATCATTTCATGTGTAATATGTTGGATATAAATTGCCAATACTTAAAAAACAAAGAACGTTAAAACAAAAAACGCTACAAATTATTTCGCATTGGTTTATTATTTCTTCTTATTACCTTATTATTCTGCTTTATTACCTTCCTGGTGACAAAGAAATAGAAATAAAAAGTGATTCCAATTATTGGACTAAACATTTTTTTTTAATTATTACTAATGTGCTAAAAAAAAAAAAAGCATTACTGCAGTAACTCATTCAAAAACCAAAAAAAAGGATATAACCGTGGCAGTGTAACTTATACAAAAAAACTGGAGACCATATCTTTGCTCCTAATTGTCCGATTTTAACCAATTTTTTTTTTAGGAAATTCCGTAAACTTTAAAATAACCAATATCTACAAAAAAAGTGAATACTTTTTGAGTTATTCGGAATCTAATTTTACCATCCCTCGTAACTTTTTTTCAAGCTCATGTTCGTTGAAATATGTTATATAGATAAATGTAAAGGCATCGAGCATAACACTTTAGCGAAGTTTCATTGAAATCGGTACATTTATTTAGGCGCCACAGTCTATAGCAACGCAGGTTTTCGGTCGCCATCTTGAAAGGAAAAGACGGATAGAAACGTCGATGAAGGAGTATCATCCTAGAGTGACTTTTAATTTTAAAGTCAAATCTCAAAAAAATCGTTCCAGTAGTTTCGGAGAAAATGCACGGACGACGGAGTACAAAAAAAAATATTATTCGTTTTTCGAATTCTACGCATTCTGAAAATTAAAACCTCAAACTTTAAAAGGAGGTTAATTTTTTGCATTTTGGTTCGATCACAATGGTTCATTGTTGAAAATAATAAACAAAAAATATCTAAAAAGCACTAATAGTGCTTTGATTTCGATGGAACTTTCTTTATTTTTTAGAAAATTTAAATACCTTTTAAACATCTTATAACAATATTGACAGAAACATGTATACTTTTTGGATTATTTCGAATCTAATTTTACCATCCCTCGTAACATTTTTTCCAGCTCCTTTTTAATTTAAAAAATACTACAGAAATCAGAAAAACATGTCCATCCTGAGGGAATGAATGTACTTCCGTATCCACTTAAACACGTAGATTGTTAGAAAAATTAACATCTACGAATATTGAAAGTTAATTTAGTAGTTGTGTGCCGTTCACTTCACATTAAGGCTCATGGCAAATAGATTTTGTCCCAGATATCTTTGCATGTCCACATCCAAAAAGTGTTGAGTTTCGTTCGAGGCACTACTACTACTAAATCAAGTTTAAACATTAGTAGATGCCAATTTTTCTAACAATCTACCAACTATTTAAACTAGATATGGAAGTACACTCTCTTCTAAGCTTTTTTTAAAAATGTAGTGTTTTTTTCTATTAATTTTTATTATTATGATATTTACAAGTGTATTCGTATAAATACATCAAGCAAATGAGTACAGAGGAATATAATCACATGAAAACGCCTGTTGAGAAACTACCCATTCGTAGTACTCTAATAATATGTCTAAATGAGGAAACCATGAGGCCATCTTCTTTACAGACGCCTCGAAGGGTTATCAGGAATCGAAGAGGAAGCAAGGTTAGAAACAAGAGGATTGGGATGGTTTTGTAATTTATTATGGAAGGATAGGTATCTGGATTGTGCCAAATCGGAAAAATATGGAACATTAAGTTCTTTATGGACTATTTTATTGTTGACAGAGTAAGGAGAATTGAAGATTTTACGAATGATTTTGGATTGTGAGGATTGGATACTAGAGGAATTTGATGGTTTAGTGGTGCCCCATAGCTCGACTCCGTAAGTTCAAATAGGTCTTATTATAGCCATGTATATGAGTCTTTTGTAATTAATTGGAAGTCTAGAGCGTCTTTCTTTTTCAATTCAAATATATTTTTTAATGTTTTATGGAATCAAAACATTTTCTAAATATTTCTTTGAGAATAAATAATTAAGAATCAGCATAACCTTACGACAAATATAATAGAAACCAAATATAAAGCGTTCAGTTCCTTTTTGTAAATTTTACACCATTGCTCAGAAAATAAATTTACTTATTTTGTTCGATCAAAATGGTTAATTATTGAAAATAATAAACCAAATATCTAAAAACTTACGTAAAATTTATGGACTCCTTCAAAGCACTTACAAGTCTGCTTTTCAATACGCTATCCGGCTCCAGTTTGATGTAGTGTTGCCCAAATAGGAGACCGAGACGAGTATTGGTCTTGCAAACTCAGTCTTGGTCATGGTCTTGCGCAAGACTCTCGCAACTGTCTTGCAGTTACTTATTAGCTTATTACTATAGTGATATTACTTTATTTTTTTAGACAGGAGAAACCTAACTAAGTAGGAATGAAAAATTAGAGGAAGTAGGAATGCTAAAGTAAATTGGTTATATCAATTATTAACATATAGTATCTAACATTGTCAAGTATTAGTAACTATTTTACCTTAATTTTTATTTAAAAAATCTTTTTTTTTTTACTAGTTCTGATTTTAGTCTTGCAACAGTTAGGCTGCCTTGGTCTTGGTCTTGCAAAGTGGATGACCAAGACCGATTTTGGACAACACTAGTTTGATGGCAAAGCTCAGTATCTTCTTTTTATCTTAGATAGATAGATAGTAAGTAGTAATAAAGACACTTATAAACACAAAAATGAGTGAGCCCCATACTGCTGCGTTTAATCATTATTGTTAACAACATAACATAAACGCTTACAATTTCGATAAGGCCATCAAATATAACACAATTACAGCAAAAGGCGTTCAACACAAAAATTAAATTGTGAAATGTAATAATTCATTCAAAGTAATATATAATTAGGATTAAGGGAAACATATATAGAGAGAAATTTATTTACTGAATTCGCCTCTACCCGACAGGGTCATTGGCAATCCTTTCTTCAATCAAACGTCTCAAATTCTATTGTAGAATCCCGTCTTTTCAAGAAATCCATCAGGGTCTCCGTATCCTGAAACATTCCTTGGACAGTTTTGCGCATGTTATTGTTTCCTCTTCTGGCTGCATGTGGTTATGTGGTTCACTATTCGGGGAACCATATCTGGCACAGGTAAGTGGATTTCGACCGTGGAGTAAGTAGTCGTGCGAAAATTTGTAGTGACCAATTCCGAGGCAGTTCAGGATAATAGATTTATATTGTGTTTGAAAGTTAAAGAATGTGTTGTATTATAGTAGGTATAATGCTACGCATTCATCGTTGTAATGATGTAGAACCTCAAATTTTAAGGGAAGGGTTAAACTTTTTAGCCTCCGATTCACAATTTTCCACTGATTAACTTAACTTGTACTTACCCAAATAGGTCCTAAGACGTTGATGTTAAAAGAAGCCCTGGTGTATTCTTCATCAATTTTATGGAACGCTCCTACCAAAGCTGCATTGTTGATGAGCAAGTAGATAGGTCCCAGTTCGTTCTCGATTTTGGAAACAAGTTCTTCTACATCTTTTCTAAAAAAAAGAATTTCGACAAAAGTTTATTTTTTACAATATATTTGCAATGCATTAAATAAATGTGTAGTCAATTATTCAATTTTCTTTTTTCTTGGAAAATGTAGAATAGAATAGAATAATCAATGTATGTATTTAAATTCAGTCTGAAACAAAATAGTTAAATTACAAGTATCACAAGTATTACATCTGTCTAATGACTTAATAGTAACCAAAAGTGTGGCCTAAAATCGGTCTTGCAGTCTTGGCCTTGGTCTTGCACTTTTGCAAGACATAGACCAGGACCAAGACCTTCTTATTCGATGCAAGACAAGACCCTGTAGAATTGCCAGACTGCAAGATTGACCTGCAATACTCTTGTGGTCTTACAGCGAAGTCAAACTGTAACTATTTTCAGATACCGTACGGCGCTTAAATATTTCAACTGTCTTAAATCTAAACAGCGTTGTATTTCTTGTTGAATTGTATATTTGAATATGGCTTTACAAATAATAATACAAAATTAATCATAAGGCAGGACAGGAGTAAGATAGAAAAATGAAAAAAGAAATGTTCTTATGAATAAAAATTAAGACAAAATAGTTACTAATAAAATAGTTCTGTGATTTGTTTTCTGTTCTTTTTCTCCCTTACTTCGATATTTCGGCTATGTTTTCTCCGGCCATGAGAGAGGATCGGGGATTAATGCCCCAGTTAAATTCGAGCTTGTAATATTCTGTTGTCAGGCGATACCTGTTTAGCAAACGCGTTAGTTCGCTCAGTCCACCCCATCTTCAACGAAGCAATCGAGGTAACTGTATTTTTAATTTTATTTTGTGTTCCTGTTGCTCTCCTTTTAGAGTATACGGGGATTCCCCGGGGTAGGGGATAAGAGCGGTGGATTAATGCCAGAGTTAAAAGGTCCATAACATCGGTTATTAGGTTGCCCAAGTAACGCGCGTGCATATCCGTTAGCCCGTTCGACCCCTCCCCCACCTCCGCCGCCCGAGGTTATTCTCTAAAGTTCCTGTGTATATATATATATATTTCGGTTGGTACTACTGACCATGAAGATCTTTGACCACGAGGTGTGGTCTCCTTACAGACATTTGTTGCTTGCTGGAGCTCACATAGCCTGGACGGGGTCATTCAACCTCACGTTGCTACGAACCATGGTCTCCATGGTGCAGCGGCAGGCCACCCGTAGCTCCATAGTCAACCCTTTGGGGCCAATCTGGCAGTGTTCTTCCCACCGTCTCACTCGGGTTCAAGGACAGAGACAAATCGGTATAGATCCATGGATTATGGCTGCTCGGATTCAGCAGGCGGACGAGGACCTATATTTCTTTCCCCGAAACAAACCGTCCATGGACCAAACCTCAGGGAAGCTACTAACATCCTGGTTAACCACATCCAGATTCCCGATTTAAGTACACGAGGAAGATTCATAAGTCCTACACCCGGTCGATGTGAGTTGCCTCCAGTAGACTGACGGGCTTTATATTTATATTTAAGTATGCCAATATTGGCGAACACCTTTCATTTATTTTACCCGGACTGGTTAGGTAAGTTTACCTTGACTAATAAAATGATTCCTCAGTACTGACAAGTATTATTGAAATTATGAAGATATTTTGTTAATACTCCACTTTTTTTTACAGGAATAGCTGCAACAGGGACCGATACAGTTTCAGGAACTAAGTGTTACATTAAACTTTCCAGAAATTATTTTGCAAATTAAAAGTATAAAAAAAAGTTTTGTAGTTTGAAATGAGTTGCTCGAAGCAGTCCATCGAGAAACCTCTCCACTACAATGGATGTCTTACTAATTGGCAAGATACCACGTTTGAGGAAAAACAAAAACAAATGGATAGGTACAACAACAAAAAAAAATATGGCGCAGAGATTCATGCAACAGACTAGAAAGAAATGAAAAAAAAAAATATGTATAAGTATATATACACATATGTCGTATCTATTACAGTAGTATTTACTTGATAGCTACGTTGGTCGTGTAGGCGACCGCTTTGGCTCCCAACTCCTTCACCATCGCTACTGTCGTTTTGTTGTTGGCTTCGTTTATGTCAGCGCAGGCGATGACAGCTCCCTCTTTCGCCAGAGCAAGGCATAACTGCCGCCCTAGCCCGCGGCCAGAACCCGTCACCTAGGAAAGTAGAATAGAACAGTAAACATACTTTTTATTCTTGGACTTGATCCTTTAATAATAATAACAGGATATATTAACAGGATTCCAACCCTCCTCCCTTGGAATCCTGCTTTTCCTTCTATAGTTGGAGGTAGAAGCCTGGCTTGAGGTTCTCTGCCTGATTGTATATAGGTATGGCTGTGTTTTTATGTTTTTAGTTTACTTATATCTAGGTTATTTTATTTTTTATTGTACATAGTTTTTGATTATTATTTTACTTTTGTTAATTTTATATTTTCTGTATATATAGTGTGAATGTGTTCATATATCACTATAATTATTGTCCACGTGACAAATTATTATATTTCTAAATAAATAAATAATACAAAAAAAAAAAAATAATAAAATAAAAAAGAAGAAAGGCTAAGTAAGCAGTTCTTTAGGCAAAACAAAAGGCAGAGGGGTATGGAAGGTAACTTCGAAGGTAATATAAAAGTTTTCTATACAACCCTCTGAAACATGAGCAGAAAAAAAAAACCTATGTAAAACCACAATAATGACAATATTCACATCAACCCCAAAGAAGTAATGAGAAGCTGGGCAGAATACTTCAAACAGCTTCTGAATATGATCTGGAGGAAACCCGGGAAAAGGTAGATGACTTCCTTTATGAGGACGATGTTGCAGAGGCACTGGCAACACTGAAAGCAGGTAAGTCGGTGGGAATTGATGGAATTTCTGCAATTGGGTTCTAGATGCATAGAAATATTTCAGCATAAATAAATTTAGGAAGGAAAAACAATCCCAAATGATTGAGAAGTCAAAAACTGTTTGTAGTCAGTGCACGCGGAACTTTATGCTCAAAATCTTTTATTCTATGTTTTTTTCTCTAAAGGAAAATCATTTTCAAGCTGCACAAATATTTATAGTAATTTGCCTCAATCAACAAATTTGGGAAAAATCAGCATTCGTTGACTGTGGTTACAGACCATAATACTTGACCCAATTATTACGTTTAGCCCACGCCCAATTTACCGATCTTTCATACCAGAATTAAATGAAAAAAAAAAACCAAGAAAAGTTCGAAAAATCTGTTTTTTTATTGTGGCTGAAAAATTATTTTCTCAAGTTGCCCGTTTTAACAATTTTGATTTTACTTGTTTTAGCCTACATATACACTTAAAAAAAAACTTTCTTTAAAAAAAAGTTTCTTGCCTAACATCCCTTAAATTAGTCGCTATTTTTTCCAAGTAGCATGACTTGACTGGTAGATTCTCATTTTTTAAATGTAAATGTTATAAATATTAAAAAAAAAATGTATTAAAAATTTTCATTTGATAATTTCAATTTTTTTGCACCGACTTTTTGACTGTTAATAATAGTACTATAGTTTGAATTTTAAAACAGATTCAGGGCAGACTTATGCGGAAATAATAAGCAAAATTAATTTATAAATGCAATGGAAAAATATTGAGTTGTATATCTGTTTAAGTAAATTTATAGAATAATTTAGGTTAGATTTTCAATTTAAAAATGGTGGTAGTGAGTTGTAAAAGTGAATATTAAAAATAAAAATTATGTTTTTTTAGAAAAGGTGAATTAATAATTATTTCACTGCAATAGTTATTAACTATTTTAGCTATACATAAATATGTTTTTAATAATCTAAATTTTAATTGGGGATATGACAATTGTAATGTAGGTTTTAAAATAAACACAACCTTATATAGGAAGGTTTTAGTATTTGACTAGTTTAATGTGTTGGCTAGTGCGATTCAGTCCATAATGATTTTTAATTATTAAAATAGGTATGTAAAATAGAGTATGAAATTAAAATAATTAATTATAAAATATAATTAGGCTGTGACAATTGTTTTGTTCGTTAACGGTCTCTTCCATTGACAATGGTCCGACGACTGAAACGTTGATGTAAAATAAAGTAGGAGTATAGTGATCAAATATATAGTTCTATTATCAATATTAAAGTGAAGTGCTGACCTGAAAATTTGTATGCATATAAATATTTATTTATTTATTTGATGTTTTGTTGCCTCTACCCTGTAGGGTCATTGGCAACGCCTTTAAATTACACTCTGTTGTAGAGTTTTATCAGTTTTAAAACCCTTAAAGTTTTTTTTACTGCATTTTCACTGTCTTGTAGATTTTCTTTTAGACTCTGTGCCATGTCTAACTTTTTCCTTGTATTTTCAAATGAAGGGCAGTCTTGAATAATGTGCTTTACTGTCCTTTGGACATTGCAGCTCTCGCAGGTCGGAGGATCAAGTCCTCTTAGTAAGCAGGAGTGCGAGAACTCACAATGTCCAAATCGCAATCTGCAGAGGGCTGTCTCCTCTTTTCGAGATGATCGGTGGGAGGTTTCCCATTTTAGACATTGGGGCTTAATTTCTTTTAATTTAGATTATTTTTGTTCCCAGTTTTTTTGCCACATGTTCCACACCTTTTCCTTAATTTTTTTAACATAATCCTCTAGAGGGATTTCATTAATTGATTTCACGGGTGTTGTTTTTGGCTTTCTTGCCATGTTGGCTGCTTGATCAGCTTGTTCATTACCGATGATCCCGCAATGCGAAGGGACCCAAATGAACACTACATCTTTGCCCTTCTCCCTTAGTAGCGACCAAACGTTTCTTACATCTTTTGCGAGAGTGGTTTTGGGCCTGGTATGTTCAATGCCTAGTAATGAACTCATAGAGTCTGTCACCACTGCCCAATTGGTATTTTCACTCGTCTCTATATCTTTAAGAGCTTCTCTAATTGCTAGCATTTCACCAGTAAACACTGAACAAGCCTCCGGAATTTTGAATAGTTTTTGAGTATTACAATTTATAACGGAACATCCTACTTCCTTATCTACTTTTGAGGCATTCGTATATAAGATGTGACACCCCTTATATTTTTCCAAAGTTTCTAAAAATAGTTTTTGAACTTCAACTGGAAGTGTCATATACTTTTTATATCTGGCAATCGAGGTATCTATAGTTGGTTTGACATTGGTCCATCGGGGAATTATTATATCCTGCACATCCGAAAAATGATCAAGAAGTATTTCTATAAAGTTTTTCTCTCTCATGTTACCTGTTTCCTTATATAAATAATACTTTATCTATTCTGGGTCAGGTCCCTTTACAATTGTATACAGAGATATAAATGTGGGCTTTGTAGCCTTAGAAAATAATCACAAAAAAGAAAAACTAAGGTGTGTGCTTTAGACAACACTATAGAAGTGAAAACAGCAACAAAGCGAGATCAAATATAAATTTTAAATAATAGCTCATTATAAAGAGAGTCAAAAGCTGAACATTTCCCTTGCTTACAGTATGCAGGTCCGATTTTTAGCTTCTGAAATATTTTAATCCATGTCTTCCACAAAACCCTTTAATTTGGGTATGCGTTTCTATTTTATCCCAATAATTTTCAATTATTTTTATTATTTCTTTTCAGTTTATATCGGTAAATAAATTTTCTACATCAAAACCGACCAAACACCTATTTTCTATTTTATTTATTCTTTCAAGCATTTGATTCACCTCCGTTGAGTTCTTTACATCATTGTTACTATCTGATATTTTAGGTTATTGAGAGTGGAATTGAGATATTTAGAGCCAAATTTATCAGTTTCCATTGATATTACTGATGTAGGACTAAGTGGAGAGCCACTTCAATGTCCCTTTACTAATCTATGTATTATTGGTGTATTCTAGTTAGGATTAATTAGATTAATTTCGTTTAGTAAGAAATTTTTAGCGTTAATAACAAAATTATATTGCATAAAATATAGACGTAAAAGAAAGGTTAATCTAAAAATGTACTTAATGAATTATAATTTACTAATTAAAATTAGTAATGTTTACTCGTTTGTTGTATCCAACGATTGTATAATATTTATGTGGAAATCTGGCATAAACAATCTATCTATTCTATCTATCAAAATCTCCAGTTGTAAGATTATGTGATGTTATATTATTATATATTTTCCATTATGCCTAAGAATTCCCGCTATTATTATCATTTATATTATTTCTCTTCTTATTTTTTATATATTGTTAATAATGAATGAATGAATGAATGAAAATAATTTTATTATTCTGGGACTAGTGTCCCTTTAGAATAAGTTACAAATACAGAATATATATTAATATTTTGGTGTGTCCATAAAATACAGTTTAATAATTACAGGTTGATAAGGAATACAATAAAGTTATAAATAATAAAAAGATATAAATACGTGTAAATATAAAATATACAGAGAAAGTAATTAAGTAAACGAAATATCGATGAATCACAAAGTAATCAGAGTATCTGGGCGTACTTTGAGGTTTTTACAGCTTAGGTTTTGGTGTGCATTTCGTGATCAATCGGATTGGGAATGGAGTAGGTGTTCGAAGAGGAGAGATTTGAATGAGGATATTGATTTTGCGTGTCGAATATCTGAAGGTATAGAGTTCCAGAGGGAGACAACTTGTATTAAAAAGGATTTATCAAACGCAGCAGTTCGGTGAGGAGGAGGAAAGAGGTCGGACGCACGGGATCTGGTGGGACGGGATTGAAAGGAGCGTTTGAATTGTAGGATCTGTAGAATATAGGTAGGTCGACGTGTTGTAATGGCTCGATATAGGAAGGTAGCCAGAAAATATTGACGGCGGTAGGACGGATAGAGCCACTTCAATTTGGTGTAGAACTGGGTAATATACTTATCCCTTGAGATCCCGAAGATGAAGCGGATTGAGCAATTCATTAAACGTTTAAGTTTGGCTTCGAGTTCTCCCGAGAATCCACCATACACCATGCAGCCATAGTCGAAGTGGGGGACAACAAGAGAGGAGACCAGGAGTTAGGAGGGGTTTTGAATCAAGCACAAAAACAAAACAGTGTTGTCAAAATAAAATTTCAATGTTGTAATAATTGTAATTAGCATTTGTACTATATATTTGTTATCATTTGGTTTTGGATACTATCTCTCCTACTCTCTAACACGGTGTTGAATTAAAATACAATTTTGAATAATAGCTCATTACAAAGAAGAGAAAATACTGTACATTTCCCTCAGTTATAGTATATAGAGCCGATTTTTAGTATCTGAAATATTTTAATCTTTATACTTAACTAACCTCGTTATCATTTGTTTTTCGATACTATTTTTTCCTTTTCGCCTCCCTAATACGGCGTCGCTTCAAGATCTGATTTCCTCGCATACAGTATGCAGGTCCGATTATTAGTTTCGGGCTATACAGACATTTTAAACCATTCGTAAAAATATTTCAATTAGTCGACTATAGCCGACTTTACCCGAGCGTTAAAATCTAATTCACTTTCCACAAAAAAGTACAAAACGCGCCTAAAGAAGTTTTCACTTCAAAAACAAAAACAATATAGACATACTAAATAAGGGCTCGGAAATGTATGAAGATGACGGCGGTATTGGATGACTGAAGGATGCTTGGAAATATTTACGACGGTAGGGAGGATGCCACTTCAGCTCTATCTCTTAGAATACTGAAGATGAAATTTATCAAACCTTTTAGTTTGCCTTGAAATCCTCAGAGACGCCTCCATATACAGTACAGCAATAATTGAAGTGAGGAAATATTAAGGAAGTGATCAGGAGTTTACGGGTTTCAATAAAAAAGGTGGCGGAGGTAATTCAGACTTTCTAAAGTAGAAAAGGATTGGTATTGGATTAATGGCTTTTCCAGGAAAGGGTTTGATTAAAGGTTATTCCAAGGTTCTCAATGGTGACACACAATTTGATGGGATTATCATGTAGGAACAGGGTTGGGATTTAACAGTTTTAAGGAGTCCTCTTGAAGAAATCATCGGCTTAGATGAGGTATTGGAAGTGATGGATCAGGAGAGGAAGGTCATTAATGTAAATTTGGAAAGAGAGAAGGACATAAAGAGGAACCCTGAGAAGAACACCCCAGGAGAGGGGAAGTGCCTTAGAAGGAGGTCAACCCGGGACAACAATATACTGGGATCGATAGGAATGGAAGGATTTGAACCAACGAAGAGGATATTCTAGGATAGGAAAGATTTTGAAGTTTAGAAAGGAGGATGTTGTGGTCAATTGTGTCGAATGCTTTGTAAAAATCTAGGAAAATAAGGGTAGTAAGTTTTTGGTGATCGATGGAGTTTTGGAGGTCTGTAAATCTCACTTTAATAAAACCATTAAGCCAACAGTGGGGAAAAGTTTTATATATATATATATATATATATATATATATATATATATATATATATATATATATATATATATATATATATATTACCGATTCTCGTAAAGATAAATGAATAATTTGGTAAAATAAACAATCCAGATACACTGCTGTACTCACCAAGCACACTCTTCCTTTGAGTGACTTCGGTTCTGGCCTCAGGATTAAACTCCGAAGGAAGCTTCCGAAGGCTGTAGCTACCTCCCAGACTAGGAAGAAAAATAAATAAACCATATAGAAGGCTATGTAGAAGTAGGGATCTTTCTTCAACTTCGCTGGCTCCTTCAGGTCTCTCTTGGAATTCGGATCGTCTTCCCATCCTTCGTTTACGAACTTCATCTTCCTTTGTCTAAAATGACAATTTGACAAAAAATCATTCAGTTAATATCTAACAAATATTTATTTATTTTTTGTTAATATAGATATAAGAAATATTGTCAATAAAAGAAAAAAATCGAATTAAATTATCTTTATAATTATTATCAATTAATAATTATGGTGTTACTGTCCCAAAATAAACGGAAGATTTGAATCAATAACTATTTTTCTGTAAATTTGTATTGCTTTATTATTTTTAATTTCAATTCAAACTTTGAGATTTTACGTTTCATAATCATTTATAGGTTAAATATTCAGATATACTTTCAAATCTTTCTAGGCATATATCAGCCTTTCGATTAACAGAATGAATAACAAAATTGTTTCTTAACTGGGCACCATGTTAGAGAATAGAAGAGACAGTGTCCAAAATAAAGTGATAATTAATATATATTACAAATGCAAATATATTTACAACATTGAAATTTTATTTTGACAACATTATTAAGAAAATCTAAAAATAAGAATAGAAATAATATACGTGCTAATAATATCAGAAATTCTTAGGTATAATAGAAAATATATAATAATATAACATTACATAACCTTCCAACTGGAGATTTCCACATACATATTATACAGTCGTTGAAAACAACATAAACGAGTAAATATCACTAATTTAAATAAGTAAATTATAAATCATTAACGATTATAGATTGATATATATCATTATAGATTGACCTTGCTTTGATGTCTATATTTTATGCAATAGAACTTTGTTATTAACTTTCAAAATTTCTTATTAAACGAAATTAAACTAATTAACCATGACTAGAATACATGCATTAGTAAAGCTACATAAAAGTGGTGCTCCACTTAGTCCTATCATCAGTTATATCAATGGGGAAACTGATCAATTTCTCAATTCCATGCTCAATAACCTAAAATCAGATAGTAACAATGATGTAAAAAACTTAGTGGAGGCGAATCAAATGATTGAAAGAATAAATAAAATAGACAATAGGTAAATATTGTTTGGTCTGTTTAGATGTAGAAAGTTTATAATAATTGAAATATACTGGAATACAATGGAACTGCATACCCAAATTATAAGGTTTTATGGAAGATGCGAGGATTAAAATATTTCAGAAGCTAAAAATCGGACTTGCATAATGTAAGCAAGGGACATCATAGACGAGAATGTAGAACAATGGATATGAGAAACCACTATCGGATCCAGGATTTAATTTTTTTATGGGGCTTCAGGCCGAATGGTTTTTTTTTTTTTCATAAAAATAACGATAATTACTTTGGAAAAAAAAGAAAGAAACTAACTACCTATATGAAATGGTGTTTAAGTGGGCTCTTTTAAATTTAATTACACTAACAATAATACTTTCAGAGATAATGTTTTAATATTTTTTTCCATAAAACATGGTTATAATTCACCATTTTGGGGGAAAAGGCTTCATCGCCAAAGCTCCCCCCCCCCATCGTAGATCCGCCCGTGTGAGAAACTATGAATATTATTATTTATGAAGTATAAACAGTATCTCAATTTTCTATTTACATCTGTTATTTCCTTATATAAATTCATATTCCTTTTCGTGCAATCAATTGAAGTAAAATTACTGGTGTAGCGGATTCTTCCGCTAAAAATGACGGAAACTTCGGCTTCAAACGATTCACCAACTGAAGTCAACCACGATAATGCACCAGAAGCTATGTCCTGGGAAGTTGTGTCTGGACGAAAACGACATGTAGCTTCAGACAGAGATCCACGTCATAAACAAATAAAGGTTAGTGATACTATTATTACTAACAATCGATTCGAAGTTTTATCAAATACTCCGGAAGATAGACAGCCAGCAAATAATAATCCCATTATTATTAGACCTCCACCTATTCACATAAACGATGTGAAAGACTACACGGCATTAGTAACCTATCTTCACAATGAAGGTGGCCCTAACAGTTTCAGGTTGAAAACGTCTATGAGAGGAGTCAGCGTGTATCCAGAAAACGCAGAAATATACCGTAGGTTAGTGACCAGTCTTAGAAGGGGTGGAGCTGATTTTCACACATATCAACTCCCGGAAGATAAAACGCCTCGAATAGTTATTAAAAATTTACACCACGCCACACCTCCAGCGACCATAAAACAGGAACTTGCCAACTATGGTTACGAGGCAACCAACATCGTAAATGTTATATCAAGATTCAAAACACCGTTGCCAATGTTTTTCGTTGATGTGTCAAAAGCAACGTTCAATGATAAAATTTTCGACATTGAATTCCTGTATTACACACACGTGAAGATCGAAGAGCCAAGGAAAAAAAGGATCATTCCGCAGTGCGTACGTTGTCAGCAGTATGGCCATACCAAGACGTACTGCAACCACCAGCCGAGGTGTGTAAGGTGTGGTATGTGTCACGAAAGCACTTCCTGTACAAAGACTCGAGAAACAGTCGCAAAATGTGCGAACTGCCAAGGACCACATCCTGCTAACTACAGAGGTTGCGAAACTCTGAAAGAGCTTAGGAAGACCCGCACAAGAAACCATACTCTGCAAAGGCCTCCTAGAGTTCAACCCCCACCACCAGAACTACACGAGTTCCCACCACTGCATCAGCCTCAATACCCTCATCCGATTCCCTCAGGACCAGAACAACAGCAGCAGAGACAGCAACGAAAACCAGCACCGGCAACAAACCAAGAACAAAGGCCTAAAGGTATGAGTAGGGGCATTGCCCAAATGCTCCCTACTATTGAAACCTCCTCAGGTGATATCATACATTTGATTAGCGGTCTCAATAACCTCATACAGCCCCTCTTAAGTCTTCTACAACAGCTATCTCAGGCTACTCTCGCTCTTACCCAAAAATATGCCCCGTAATCAGACGACTGTGGGCTCCATGTCTATTATACTATGGAACGCAAACGGACTGAATCAACATAGAACCGAACTAGACATATACTTACACGAGAAACGCATTGACATTGCACTAATAACAGAAACACATCTGACACCACATTCTAAATTTTACATCCGTGGTTACAAAATCTACAGAACTGACCACCCAGATGGAACTTCACATGGAGGCACTGCCATAATTATCAAAACAACTCTAAAACATAATCCTTTACAATTACCCATAACACCAGAGATTCAAGCTACAGCCATTACATGATCAACACAACAACAAAACATTACTCTTGCTGCGGTTTATTGCCCTCCGAGGTATGTTCTGACACCCATGATGTTTAGTAATTTCTTTAAACGTCTTGGTAGATGCTTTGTTGCAGGAGGCGACTACAACGCCAAAGATCAGTTCTGGGGATCCAGACTATCTACTCCAAGAGGAAGGAATCTTAGGTATGTTCTTTATGAGCTTTCATTAGACACAATATCACCTAATTCACCCACGTACTGGCCAACTTCTAGACGGAAAACACCAGACTTACTCGACTTTTTCATAACTAAAGGACTCCGAACAACACCTCACACTATAACAACGAGTTCAGATCTTTGCTCTGATCATTCCCTTTTGCATTTGGTATTGTTTAAAGAGCCTTGTGAAGCTACAAAAAAACTGTCCCTGATCAATGGCATAATGGATTGGGACAGGTACAGGAACCAATTGGACACTGCTCTCTCTGTTCCTCTATCCATTAAAAACGAAGAAGAACTTGAGGATGCCGTTGAATACTTCACACGAAATATCCAAGAAGCAGCATGGTCTTCATCAGTAGCAAAACCTCAAAAATATGAGTTCCTACCAATGTACCCACAATACATAAGGGACTTGATCAGAGCGAAGAGGAGAGCTCGCAAAATATGGCAGACTGACAGACTCCCATCAGATAAACGAGCTTACAACAGACTTAATAATGAACTCAAGCGACAGATTGGAAAATTCAAACGAACAACCTATGACAACAACATCAGAAATCTCTCAACCGACGATGGAAGCTTGTGGAGACATACCAAAAACCTTATTAAGCATCGTGAAGTGTCAGCACCCCTTCGAAGACAAGATGATTCCTGGGCCGTGACGGACGGAGAAAAATCAGAACTCTTTGCCGAATATCTTTCTTCTGTTTTTGTACCACACACAGACTTCACTAACACTGTGCACGATAACAATGTACTAAACACTTTAGACATGCCCTTACAACTAACTTCACTTCCTATTTCATTCACACCTTCACAGATTGCTGAACAAATCAAAAAGTTGCCTAAAAGAAAAGCTCCTGGACATGACTTGATTAACGCTGAAGTGCTCCAACAAATGCCTAGAAAAGCTCTAGTGCTTTTGACAACTATTTATAATGCAATACTGAGGACAACTAAATTTCCCCTACAGTGGAAATACTCACATATAATAATGATTCACAAGCCTAAAAAGGACAAAAACTCACCTTCCTCATACCGACCAATCAGCTTACTACCTATCTGTTCCAAAATTTTTGAAAGCTTACTGAACAAAAGACTTGTTGATATACTAACAAACACCCAAATAATACCTGACCATCAATTTGGATTTAGGGCACATCACTCAACTATACACCAACTACATAGAGTAACGGACTACATATCTACAGCACTAGAGCAGAAAGTATATGCAACTGGCGTATTTCTGGATGTTGCTCAAGCGTTTGACAGAGTTTGGCACCAGGGTCTTCTCTTTAAACTCAAGACAATACTCCCACCTACATATTATCTAATTCTACAATCCTTCCTTTCCGATAGATTTTTCTCGGTCCGACACGGGTCAGAACTATCTTCCATCAGGTCTATCTCAGCAGGAGTACCTCAAGGTTCAGTACTCGCTCCACTACTCTATATCACATACACCCATGACATACCTTGTAGTCCCAACATTTTAACAGCGACATATGCAGACGACACAGCAATTTTAGCAAGACACAAAAATCCAACATACGCCTCACAGACCCTACAACAGTATTTAACAAGATTACATGACTGGTTCAAAATTTGGAAAATCCGACTAAATCAAGACAAATCA